ACCGGTCCCCCTTAGGGAGCGCAAAGAGAGAGGAGCGGGGCAAAGTTTTCATACATTATAGCTCTGTCACGACGAAGCTTACGTTCGCGATACTTTGGCGAAATGAGAATTTAAGTTTTTTTTGTTAGCAACGCGAGTAAAAACGCGTATATTGACAACCGCGGTCGCGATATTCAAAGGCTCGCACGCGAGCGAGGATACCTCAAGCTCGGCGTGCGCTGGCGCAATTTCTGCGAGCATTATACGCTATTCAAGACAATAGGGATTGTGATGAATGGACAATATTGCCAAATAATTCTACAGCCTGTTTTGCAAATAAAAGAAAAGTAGCTAACGATATCGGCATTTAGGTATGAATATATTTTATACGGACAATTGAATATTGTCAAATAATTAAATCGTTAAGTAATTCTGCGGCCCGCTTGAAAAATAAAAATAAAGCAGCTGATGTCGGTGTCGCGTTTGTACATATGAATATTCTCTTATTCAGATGACTGAACATCAAAAGAGAATCATTCAGTATTTTAAATCTTGTATGTAATGCAGGCTATCGATCAAGTAATCCCCTGATTGTTTCGACCAACGTATTTTATTCAACGTCACAAATACACACATGCAAGTATCTATTTGCAATTCGCATTGACTCGAACGATATTTTTTAGTCCCACATCTGTCATGCAGAATTTTGTTTCTCTTTTCATTTTGACTCACCGAAACGACTTGCAGTCAGAGCCGGCCACGTTCCGCTTCAACTCTGTAACAAAAAATTCACATTTGCTCATCAGATTTGACCAACGAGTGCGGGCGAGTAAAAGAGTAGTTTACCCTCTGCGATCGTAATTCAAGTCGAGTTGGAAATTATATCCCAGCTCTAGATCGCCAAGGGTCAAACAGAGGACTATAGTAAACTTGTAAACTTACCTTCAAGCCGACTCTGCTTCGCCCGAACCGGATCCTCCGGTGCGGCATCCGCGTCCACCGGATTGCTGTTGCTTTCCGCAACAACTGAAACAGAAAAATAATTTTCCCGGTTGATAACCTGCGGTAGAGAGAGAATATCTTTGATCGGGACCAATCGAAAATACGGATATATTTTGATACGGAATTTTTATCTTTATATTTTTGTTCCAACATTGAGAATTTAAATGGGACTTGAAGCTTTCAAGAGAGCTGATGAGCAACAAGTTACAAAGGCGAAGATCGTAAAGAGTTGAACACAGATGTGTAGGAAACTTGTAAACTTTACCTTTTGGCCGACCCTGCTCTGCCCGAACCGGATCCTCCGGTGCGGCATCCGCGTCCGCCGAACTTGCTTCCCACAACGTCTGGAACAAAAATTTAGCGTTCTTGGTTGGTAAGCTGCGGTAGAGAAAAAATGGTTGGTCGGGATGAGTGGGGAATATTCGCTGCGATTTTTTTTCTTTATTGACATTGAATGTCTAGATAGGAGCTTTTGAAAGAGCTGACGAAAGAAAATGACAATAAGAAGCGGAGACAACAGTTGTGTGCTCTCGAAAATATTCTTTTACTGATGGACATTTAAATTCAGATCCCGTAACAAGAGTAAACAAACTTGAAAGAAGCGCTGACCGAAAACAAAAAAGGTCGCAGTCTAAGAAGCGATATGACGTTGAATATTCTACACAAGACCAATATTCTCACACAGGAATTGGGAGTGATTCAGAATGTTTGATTGAGAACATGATGAATTCGAGATCCACGTCCATGGACCGTTATCCGTCTCTGTCTGGATCAATATCTTTTGTATACAACAACGCAATAAATAGGTAGACAGACAGAGATTGATGAGAGTAATTGCAAATTCATAAAGTGATGATTACTAGTCGGATGATGACGGATTGTGAATGCCGAGCGCGAAATTCCGACTTCTTATTCCCGGAAAATTCGTCAAACGTACGCTCTCGTTATCGGAGACCTCCCGCGTAATAAATGATTCCACATACCTGGAAACGTGACGTATCGCTGCCGGCGTTCTGCTTCTCGACTGCCGAAGTCCTCCGAATTTCACTCGCTCACGCTTCTAATGCTGATACTCGCGATTCGACCGTTAATGAGATGCCGACACGATGCCGATTGAGTATCTCGAGGACCGACGAGATATATTTCTTTGAATTACATGAGACGGAAGTGACGAGAGCGTCGCGCACGGCTGCTGCTGATGGAATGAGGTCGAATACATGAGGTGCGCGAGTATTATAATACGAAGGGCAAAAAGTGTCGTCGCTCGCGAGCCGATCAACACAATCGGCGCGATGTAAACATTGCGGGCCTCGGCGGCGGTTGAAGCAAGAGAGACTTGCTTTTGAGCGTCTCTTGTTTTCTCGAAGGTTTCGGAACGACGAGGGGAATGCGAGGAGGCCTTTCAACTGTATGCGACATTGATGCACTCTATTTATTGATTACTGAAAATAAAGAAAATTACTCTGTCGAAGCATCGGACATTTGTTAGCTTTATTAAAGAGGAGGTTAATTAAAGAGGAATGTATACGATTAGAAAATGTGTTAGCAACTAATTGTACAGAGTGTAAGTTGTTGTGACGCCGTTTTCAGAGAATAATTAAAGGTCATGGTAGCGTTAAAGAATGGAATTTCATCCTATGCGAATTTAGTCGCGCTCTTATTAAATATTAGTCCTGTATAAAATGTCGTATTTAAAAGTATTGTTTCGCATTCACGAGATTTTGTCGTGAATTCTGCTCTCAGATTGAATCGCAGGTGAATACTTTTTAATGCGACGGGGAATAGAACGTGAAAATCTTGTATGCCTCTGAATCCGAAAACGATTAGGAGAAGAAGTGAATATTTTTCAATATGAAAGTTCGCATTTAAAAATTATCAATTGCGATTGAATACAAGGCATATTTGAAACGAATTGAATCCTTGTTAACGCGAAGCATTCACTACTGCCATCTCGCATTTAGCGCGGTGAAATTTAATGGGAACTAATACTTTTTATTTTCCCTTTCTTCGGATCAGAAAGCAGAATTCAGACGTATTCAAAATGTCAATACTTTTTAATATGTTTCAGTTCGACATTTTATACAGGGAGATTATCCGCTGCGGACAATAACTCTTCTACTTTTCATTTAATATTCAATGATGATAAATAACATTTAATTGCATTCGTTTGGCTTTTTTTATTTCGAAAATAAGAAAATATATACCGGGGTGAGATTTTACCCATGACAACATTAACGTGATTTTCTTTGATGCTTTTTTTAAAAGTTCAAATATTTCGTCGACTCGCGGGATATTTATAATCGGAGTCTCGTCACGTTAATTACGTGAATAACGTGCTCCTCCGAGCGGATCGAATGCTCACCGACGGCCACTGTCAGTGCCACGAGCGAATGTCCAGAGCGGACGGGATGCTGAATTAAAAAACAAGACGAAGTGAACGGGACGCGGACAACGATACATCATGCGTCTTCATACATGTCAAATTGTTTATTATAGAAGAGACTTTGATACAATATATGCAATATATATTCGAAGATTTAACATTTAATACGTACTTTTATTTTTTCTGCTCCTCCCCCCCCTCTCCGCCGCTCTTTTTAGACCACCGGGCATAGTCTGGCATAGAGATGGCAATTGTCATTGCAGCACGGACATAAACCGCCTGAAAGTGGATGTAGCATGGACTTCCACCATATGCAGATTTTACCACCGAGACCTGAAAGTGGATGTACTATTGTAGTTCCCCTCTCAAAATGGATGCAGATGGCGTCCTTTCCCAGTGCAGAAAGTCGGTGTCGCAGAAAATGTCGTATTGGCCGCTCTCAGGTTACTCTCTGGTATTACCTTGTCGGTGGTCGTATCACGACCTTAATTTTCTTTTTTTTATTAATTTGAAAATACAACAAATTAGGTACAAACCTATATGGTGACGATATTAATTCTTCGTTCGGAAGCGTGGATCTTTAAATTAACATGCAACATATTAGACTCTTTATTCCTTGTGTTATTATTAAACCCGTTATTTTGCGAAAAAATAACAGGTTTAGAACCTGTTGAATTCGTTATATTTGCGAGTAAATAAGAAGACAATTGAGAGATGATTAAACCGTTTTATTTCGCTTAGTTGTTGAATTTGATCTATTTATCATAAGCAAATAAAGTTAATATTTGAATTTTAAGGATTAGTTTAAAGATTTACAGAACTATACGATGTCTAGTGTAGTTAGACCTGTTATTTTTTTATCAGAAGTCTCCGCTATGAGCCGCCACTATCTTCCATAAAGAATCCAATCGTATAATTCAACGATTGGTCAAACATATTTCGAAATTCAACGGACTACATGTCGGTAGGAAAACAGGTAATAAGATAATTCAAAAAATTATTTTTATTGTAAATTATTTGATTTTAAGCATATTATGCTCATAATGTTGTTGTTATTTATTACTGTGGTATAAAAAATCATAAAAAAAATATCAATTTTCTAATTAAAAGTTTGTGGCTTTTACCCAGGCAGAAACAGAAAATCATTATGACATCAAAATGACGTCAAAATGATAAGGAAAACTCATTTTTCCATCATAATTCGATCATTTTCTCGTCATTTTGATGTTATCATGATCTGTTCTGCCTGAGTAACTGCAGTTATCTTGATTGATGATGTCAAAAAACGGAAAATATATGTTCAAAATTCTTGCAAAATGTGTCCAAATTGAAAGATATGTCCATAAAATGATGCTTGTGATTAGTTGAACAAATTTATGAAGAAATTTGCAAATCTGTTTTTTTTTACTTTAATAATCAATAAATAATAGTAAAATTAATACGAAAGGAAATGATATAGGCACAAATTAGACAGTATGTCATGTTGATTTTACGGATGCTTATCGATTATTAGAGCAAAGAATAGTTTTACAGAATATTGTACAGATCTGTTCATCGGTTACGAGTATTATTTTATGAAGACATACTTTTATTTCAACATATTTTGCAAAAGTTTTGAGCATGTATTCTCTCGCTGATATAAATCAAGATGGCCGCGAGGAAAATATCGGAGTCATAACGCGGTCAATCTTCGTCTATTCCTGTGTTTGCGTTTCGGCCATCAAAGATGGTGAACCCTGGTGAACATCAAATAGGAGTGTTTTTGCGCGACAAACACATCGCGATCGTTCACGGTTTCATAACAGAATATTGTTGGAGAATTTTCGCGGTCCAATGTACCTTTATTTGCCTGAGTTATCTCTCGTACGTCTGCATGGATAAGTACAATTCGATGTTCAAATATCTCGGACCGATTTGACTCTGTGACTCGTTCGATTCATTGTCGATACATAACCGTTTAATGTGCGCGTTTAGCTCCTCGATTTCTTTTAGTACACATACATTTTAGTGGAAAATAACCGCACCACGGCAGACTCCACGTACAATGGCAGATTCATTGCATAAAGATGGATATGAAGCATGTGAGTGATTATCTTTTTCCTCTTGACAGGAAAGAATTTGTCGGAAAAGATTTTTTTTGGCGCCTTATCGTGCAGTTGTCCGAAATTTGTTTATTTAAATCGCACTGTCTTCGTGTCTAACTTCAAATTGTCTCGAAACAAATTTGCAAATGTATATTTGTACTTTGTTTTGTTCTTTAATAACAACAACATTTTATGTTCAATTGCAAGGTAGTATTTGTTTTTCAACTATGTTTGATACATGTTTATATATGTGTATAATATATATGTGTATGTATATCTATATATTGTGTATTATATATCAGTTACCTTGAATTGTTGTTTCATGATTTGAATTTATTTGTTGAATTTATTTGTTGTTTCATGAAAACAGCAGGCTTGATGATGCATACTGGCAGTGGTAATATAGGCTCAGACAGTGATATGAAATTGGAGCCGTCCAGTCCTACGGAGAAGTACACTTTTTCTCGTTGTGGCAGTACAGGTTCAGTCAACACACCATCATCCTCTGCTCACAATACAGGTAAGCTCAGGCTTTGTGCATTAATAATCTGGACCATAACTACAACATATGATGTTTAGAGGATGAGGATAGCGATAATAAAAACTCAACCATCAGCTACAAAGAGCGCAGGAGAGAGGCTCATACTCAGGCTGAGCAGAAAAGGCGAGATGCTATCAAGAAAGGCTATGATTCCCTGCAGGACTTGGTCCCGACTTGCCAACATACTGATTCCTCAGGCTACAAGATCTCCAAGGCCACTGTACTTCAGAAGTCTATCGATTACATACAATTTCTGTTGCAACAGAAGAAGAGGCAGGAGGATGAGCGGAAGGCATTGAGGAAGGAAGTTGTTGGCCTGCGTATCATGTTGGCCAACTATGAACAGATTGTCAAAGCACATCAGACGCAGCCAGGTCACGCGGAAATGCGGATCTCAGACGAAATGAAGTTTCAAGTGGTAATTATATCTAGCATTTGTATCTTCTTTCCCCTTAATATTGCACTGTTAATTAATTTATAATATGCATTGTGTTGCAGTTCCAGGCAATAATGGAACGTCTCTTCCAATCGTTCAACAACATTTCCGTGGCCAATTTCGGGGAATTAACTGCTTACGTGTTCAGTTGGCTGGAAGAGCACTGTAAACCACAGGTAAAACCTTGTCTTTTAATTTTTCAGTTCTTTCTTTCCATTTCTTTTCTTTTAATTTTTTTCTCCTGATTCAATATGAAAGGAATACAGAGAAATATTCTCTTTTCCGTAATATAGCAGTGTTTCCTAATATATTTTTCTAATATTATATTTAATAACATTGAATATTTAAAATATTCGAAACGAAATGGAGAATATTACTCGTTGTTTTGTGCCCTTAAAGATTAATTTACCAGGATTTCTTAAGCATGAAGCAATGAGAAATTTTGGCTGAGTTTTAATTGTAGCAAAGAAATAATCATTTAACAAAAAGTATCGTGCAATATAAATCAATGTTGATGTATTTATAAAACATTGTTTTCAATAGATATTGATTAACATGTTTACGGTTGTTTCCTTAGACTCTACGCGATATAGTAATTTCCGTGCTACAACAGCTCAACATCAGTCAGATCAGCTAGTCGATTGAATCCATGAAGGAGATATGCGTCGCACAATGTCCCTAAAGGGTTTACTAAATCCATATACTGATGAAGAATATATGGCATGTTTCATATTCAAAGAAGTGATGCCAAGATTATGAAACAAAGCATATATTCCTTTCTATTTTCTTTCTATCTTACCATTAGCACAATCTTGGGACATAAGGAAAACATGCGAAAGATAAACCTGAGATAAAGTTCAAGAGTCCAAAGTCGAAAAACTCCAAATGAGAGACGTCAGTGATTCTCTTGCTATATTTTCTATGGTTTAAGTGGAAATGTGAACTTCAGTGAAATATCAGGATTCCATCGTATCGAGTAAACACATGTGATAGTTGTTTTACCATAATATTGGAATCGTCTATTGTTCGTTACGTAAGCATTGCTTACGCGTTCTATATCTAATGTATATAGAACACACCACTGTTTCTTTTGGTTATGTGATCTTTTCTGATCATGTTGGGATTAGTTTTTTCTGGTGGAATTTTGATTGACTACTAATTGTCTGACGCAACTCTGCATCATTTATTTATAAATATCTTCTCAAAATACTTCTCGAATTTAAATATCGTTCTAAATAGTTTCCCGTGAGCGTGGAAGAAGGTTCTTTGTTTCTATTAGTACTTTTTGCAATTCGTAACAATCCTGAAATTTCCAAACGTGACGAAAGTTTGAACGCATCATGTAATTCTCGACGGTGGTGGTCGGAACACTCGGGATACGATCAGATCTCTAAGATCAAGTCAGCGGATATTTAGACCAATCATACGCGAAGTTACCAGAGAAAAGAGACATGCACGTCGCGTGTATTACGGGTATATAATGGCATGGGAAATATAAATGAAAGTTTATTTTATATACATCTGCGAAAGAGTGAAAGAGAAAAAAGAGAGATTAAATATATTGATGCTCTCAACACGGCGTGTCCTCGGGTCGCCGATACCGATGTTAAATATTTTTGTCAAATCTTTTATTGCGCATATGTCGCCACGAACAAACAATGGCGGACAGTGTGTATGTATATGTGTAGAGAGATGTATCTGATTATGTACATAACAGATTTATATAACATATATTTACAATGAATGTGTACGACCAAACTCTCGAGTGTATATATCTTCAAAGTTATATCCCGTGTTATGACCTTTTTAGCCATGTCCGTTAGAAACATCCTGGTTCTTTTCTTCTCCTGAACAATATCTTCATCATCTACTTTTTATTATTCCAGCTTATCCTGCATTATAAGGTATAGGATGCACATTGTTCTCGCGATTGCGGTTATTGTTGCACTGCAAGGAGAGAGAAAGCTCTTATTTAAACCTTCTCAGACTCCGTTGGCATGCTCTCTCCTTGCGTAATGTCATTTAACGGTATCGCGTCTGATCTGCCTCGATTAAGATTGTCACACTCCCGTTGTTCATTCTGTTGACGCCGCCTCTTAAACCTGTTCTGCGGCCGGCAACACAAATCTCGGAAGATGCACACATAGCAGGTCAACAGTGCAGTCATCATCATCAAGCCGCCGATCGCGAGAATGACGACCAGCATGATGGAGATTAGATCGTCCATCTTATCACACTGCTTCAATACTGAGCGAACGCTGTAATAAAAATTAGTTGATAAATATCGTTTGAAATTATCAAAAAATATCTTTCAGGATCCGTCAAGAGTCAAGTCATGCGGAAAGCGACGATAGCAAAATATTTGTGTTTTCATTATTATGATATGTTTGTGTTTCTTGATTATTTTATTTGTCGAACGCGGAATATATTTAAAAATCCACAAATCGCACGATATAAAAGTATTTGTCTTTGTTTTAACAGATAATATTCTCTCGTGTTTTTTTAACAGCTGATCAAACTTGGCAGTGTGCAGTATTGCTAGTTTTGATATGTTATTTGTAGATAATTTTTTTTAAACATAAAATATATATATTTCTCTAGACAGAAGGATGTTTAATTCTTTGAGAATGTCCATACCGTTTATTTGAATTATCTCAATTTTTTAATACGATATTTTAATCTTTTTTAGCATATTTTCCCGACTTCATCCCTACGCCTACCAAACTCCAACGCCTACCAAAGTAATTCCTTGAGTTTCCTTGGGAATAGGAGATAGGATCTATAATTTTTAAAATAAGTGGATGGATAAGACAGACAGGTCAGTAGGTTCAATCTGAATATAAATTATTTTCGTTACATAGAAAATATTCTCATTTCGTTACACTGAAGCAGGCGAGTGCTAGCTTTTAGGTTCACCGTACGATCCGTATTATAGGATAATCCGATTTATTCGTTACGGATCACGTACTCAAAAGCTCACTCGCGCTGATAATGGAGACTTTAGTGCGGAAAGGTGAACGCGTAATATAAAAATAGAAAAGTCACGTGAAAATTGTATTTAACGGGATTAGTGTTTTCATGAAAATTCGTGTCCTGCACGTAGGCTGCGATGAAATAAAATTAATTTTAAACGGCAACCAACCAGAAAAATCGTCGCGCAATCTATTTTTATTGAATACAGCTACAAATTATTTGCCGATTATTTGCCGGAGCTATCGGTACTTCCTAATTAATTATTATTGATCCGGCCGTTCTCCCGACATTTATTCCTGCGTCAAACAGAATTTTTCATACATATAAAAATACCATCGCCCAATTTCTCCATTAATATGTAAATAAAAGAGCGCAGCATCTCGTTAAAAAAAGCAATCTGAAATGACGCAAAATTTTGCGTAACTCTCACTCAATATGTCGAGTTCTGCGATGTTGAAGCATCGAAAAACGTAACAACGTTTTATTCCATATTTTTTATATTTCTCTTTTTTTGCACACAGAATCATCTATTCCTCTTCCTCATCCTCTTCACCAATCATTGTAAGATATCCCCATGTGCGGTTCAATTTTCGCATCAAATCGTCAGCCGATTGATCGCAGTCGCCGAAGTTCTTACGTATTTTGGTAACACGTCACAGAAATGAATACGAGTAAGAAATAGGATGGCCGACGATGAAAATCGAGCAAAAGGGATTCCAAGGGAGCGAAAGTAATTCCATCGCTTACCTTCACTTGCTTCGACGTTCGACGCGTTCGCATCTTCTCCTTTTTTATGCGAACATGATGTCTCGTAAGGCGCGAGATATCTCCGCTCGATCGAGCGATTACCTGCGTCTGTACTCGCGAAGGCTTTCAATTTGGACGCATTTTCCTCGCTGCCGTCTTCGTTCGTACCAGTGACGGGGAAACATCGACGTACCGAAGCAAAAAACGAGGTAACCAATAAAACAACATTTTAATTCAAACGAATGCTACGGGAGATACTAATTGAATTTCGTTACATTCTTACCGAGACAAAGTTCTTAATCCCTTCAAAAGAAATATTATATGTTTGGACGCGTTTGCATTATTTCAAAGAGATGTACGTTTGTTTCTGCATAATGAATGAAAACGTATTCTCTTAGTGTTCTTTCAGAATATATCCTTCAACAAATATCATATTGCACGGTAAACGCAATGTATCAAATTTTAACGAACTGCTTCGACCGATGATTTATGATAAATTCGACGCGGTATATACAGCGAATTGTTACACAAATTGAATTTATTATAAGGCTGATCTCTTCTTAAAAGACGAATCTTAATTTACTCTCTTTTTTATCTTGTATTACAAAACTCGACATGGTTGAATCTCTCGGATTACCTGAAGCAACTTGTTTCTACTTTGCTCCTTTCTCGTGGGTGTCGGCTTGAGTGACAAGACGTGGAATATTAATTTACACGAATTTCGCGATTTACCTGATATAAAGGCAGTTATCCGAAAATTTATTTCCTGATTATTTATTGCAACGAGGTAACGTGAAGCGTTTTGAGAATGGGGAACGTTACACCTGACAATAGGCAACTGCTACTACTTGCTCGTCGAAGGGCGGTTGCATCGCATACAAAAGGCGGATTTCCGCTTGCTGGTCGATCTCTCGCGCGTGTTCCGAGTGTTATTGGTTTTATTCGCCGCTTCGTATCACGCCCGTCCACCGCTTTGGCGTGCTCTCGAACAAATAGAGGATTGTGACAGTTCGTTGTCACGTCAATAACACGTGCGCGCGCGCTTCCTGTCGCTTTACACGACTTCCGAATTAATTTAGCGTCGCGTATCGCACATTGGCTTCTCACCCCTGCGACGTTGTTCGTGCGAAAATTAACGAGGGGGCTGGTTATGTAATCACGACGCGAACGGAAAATAACAAAACGTGTTCGCGTGTGTTGATGTGCGCGCCTTTTTATAATTGACCCAGTAACCTTTGGTGAGAGAAGGGGGAAATACTTAACTCTCATTAACGGCCATCGTCCCACTTTCATTATATAAATTAAATAACGCGTTGTTTATCGCGAATAGAATGAAACTTTTGCGCACAAAACAACAGATGATCTTCCACCGAAAGATCCACACTGAACAATTGAAGTTCTTATTTTGTTCTCCTTGGGGAAACCTTCTTTCGTTTCCAGAGGAATTCTTGAAAAATTTTCATCATTGATTATTTTTATAAACTAAATTACATATGTATTAGTGATACAATTAGTTTTCAATTTTTATCAAATTTGCGTGCTTATAATATGTACATTCCGTGCTCTTTTAAATACAATTTTACTTAATATTATCTATATTTGTGCAGTAATTAATATTATAAAAGTGAAATACGATTTTTTATCCACAAGGATTAATAATGTCAAGAGTTGTATGATCTTTTTAACATTATTCCAAGGCTTTTTTGCGACATGAAATCTATTGTATTGTACAATACGACCAAGCTAAAATTCTTTATACGTTAACATATTCATAAATTATTTGCAATTCAATCGCGATATTTTTGAACAGTTTAACAACTAACTATTACCATACAAAAACACGCACGTATAACCGCTGGCAGGCTGGTAAAAGCCTTTTTGTATTCCCGGCGTATAGGAGTGTTTTCAGAAGCGTGGAGGATCAACATCCTTATTGCGTCATGACACGCGGCATTCTCTATATAGGGTATGTCGCATTTACGAGGGCTTCCGGCTCGTCATCCCCTCATATGAATCCTTCATCTCTCTTGCCGGAGCCGCGGAACTTCTCCGTAAATATCGACTTTTTCCAAAGACAATAAAAGCGACCTTAAAACAGCACGTGGGGCACGCACCCTCTGCCGTTCGTGACCGGGGGTCGTGCTACGCCCTTTTTTAGTAATAATGTATACACGTGGAAGTACTGATTTTGTCCGAATCGAAAACAATATCTTACCGACACAATTATTTTACGAGATCCCTTACGACGGAGGGGCTCTTTGTGCGCGATACTAACATATGCATGCTTACGGCGTATCTAATGCATAATGAATGAAACGAAACGCGAATGCGTGTAGTAGGTACTAAGAGAGAAGGAGAGAGGAAGTCAAATGGGGTACGAAGGAAGGTAATGGAAGTAGGATCTAGCGCGGAGGAAAACCGTGTGAATAGAAATTACACCGATCGTAGTCGCGCCGCGAGACGCGACGATAAAAAAAATTCAGCGATAGATCGCGAGATTACGTTGCGTAGGTGTGCAATTTATATATGCATTGTTTGTAACAAACGACCGCGTATCAATAATAACAATAAATCCGCAAAAAAAGAACGGGAACAACGACACATTCCGCGAGGAGAAGGGACAAAAAATGTGGAGTTTCCTCTTCGCTTTGCGTGTTAAGCCCTTTGCACAATGCCAGGCAACAGGCAATAAGAATAAAAATAGACCAATCACGATAGATTATACTTGTAATAGTCGATTGTGATTGGTCTATTTTTATTCTTATTGCTTGTTGACTGGCATTGTGCAAGGGGCCTTATCCTTACGCAGAAATAATATGATAATTCTCTCTATATTGTTCCGGTTTTAATATATTTATCGTCGAAACAAATACGCGTGGTAACACGGTTTTAACGCGAAATTCCTTATATATACTAAACGACATGCACGAGTGTGTGCTATCGAGTGAACACACTCATAGACGATACGTCGACTAGCGGTGAACACGTGAACGCTCGTGGCCGACAGTAGTACAAACATAAAATTAGGTTTACACTTGACGTTCGCTAGACGTTTCCATTTTTCGTGTTTCCCTCGCACATTTTATTAGTTTTTTGTTATTCCGCTTTATCCTCCTTCTCTCTATTGCTATTTGTCCCCTGGCGTTGTTTCGTCATCTTCTTTTATTATTACCTCGTTGATATTCTCGCGCGGCGTTCGCGACAGAGAATTTTCAACGTTTACGTTTACGTCGATATTAACCTGGTGACCCTCGCGAGATGTGTGAACGAACATATCGTGCGATAAATATCAGACGTAAACCTATCAATAGACACGCTCGGAACATTTCTCGCGATTTTACGTTGTATTCGCGGACATGCGGATATTTCCGCCGCATTGTTATCCCTGTATTTTTCTGCCGCGTTATATTTATCCATTGCGGAGATTGATGATGTTGGGGAAGTTGTTGCGCAGGGCACGGTATTCCGTGCCGTAACAACTTTACTTAACATCGAGGCAATGTGAGTACCCGCGGCCGCTACGGCTACACTTTTAATGCTTTCGGCATTGAAAATGAGGCACGTTTAAGGTAGCGGCTGACCTGCGCTGCAATTTCTATTCGAGAAAATTTCAGAGAGAGAGAGAGAGAAAGAGGGAGAGAACGATTACTTTCCACAGAATAACAATAGCATATAAATATAGATTATCTTTGCTGTAGATGTAAATATAAATATATAGATATAAATTTATATAAAATGTTTATATTTATAAATAAGTTTACCATCCGATAGCGGTGAACGACCGAATGTTTTTCATCTCACTTACACTATAGAGATACCGGAGGGCTTCCGTTGTTCTTCATCCCCTTTCAGCACGGTTCATGAACGCAGAATGTCCGATTCGCGCGCGTCATCGAGCTTCACCTCGCTCTCGTTCACCCCGGCAAATTGAATGCCGTCGTACTTTTGTTCCTCGACATCTCAAGCGCCTCCGCGTCGCGTTGATCCCGCATCAATCCGTGGCTATCTATTCCATTTTAATGTCGGTTTTAGAAACCGACTTGACTTGTCGGATAATCCTCATCGAGATAGTCCAATCACGGGGCAGATTCATGACGTGCATAGACTGCTCGCGGTGAAAACGCGAAATTCGGATGTGATCATCGGAAATATCTCAAATTTCCTCACAGTCATTTGATTTATCTTTAATGTCTCGCTTCTTGCCGAGGGCACTTAACGTCTTCGTCAATCGCGGTGCTTAAGTGGATCGATTCTCTCTTCGAACTCGTTGTCTTTTGCTTCACGGTCATCGTGCGTACACGAATGGCAAGATGAAGATCAGAGACAATTTGGCAATAAGCTGATAAATGTCAAAAACGTGTACAAGTGCGGAACGTGTACGTGTCGTGCGAACAATTAATACATTTCTATAAGTTATCGTCGCGACCTTCGTGCAATTTTGATGGATCACTTTGAGTCGTGTACGAATGACGCACTAATCGTCGTGTAGTGATAAACATAACGGAGAAAAGAGACTCGTATTATCCCGTTGCTCACAACACGAGAGTCGCGTGCAAACTGTGATAGAGAGCGGTCCATCGTGGCGCGCATCCTCACAAAGTACAGCTTTCCTCCTACCCTCCTATTCTCCCATCCTCGTCCCACTTCTTCCTACGTAACGTATAGGGGTCTTTGGCAAAGGAGTCGTTCTTCGTGATGCGAGAAATGTTTAAAGCGCTTCTTCTAGCTTCGCTCGATATAAATCAATCGTATTCGCACAGTTGCTTTCGCTGAAATACATCGCTCCTTTTCTTCTCTCGATGTCGTTTCAACCGTTCTTCCTCCTTTTCTTCCTCCAATGTCGTTTTAACCGTTTCTTCTAGAAGAAAAATTGTGTAAAAGTTAAATCGTGCAGAAGCCAAATTCCTTTTAAAACAGCAAACTAAATCGAAACTGTTCTTTCGACCTAAGATGCGATAAATTGTATGTACGAAGTTAATATGCAATATCCGCGATTCGCGCTTTTATGATGACAGATATATTTAAGAAAACCGCTCAACGCCCCTGTCGCAACCGCGAACCCTCGTGGAAAGAAATCTAATTGTACAAACGCAAAATTGTCGGCGTGATCAATTTATTTGTCGCCACTTGGAGCTTTCCTCCTTCGGGGTCTTCGATTAACCGTCGTCCTGTCGAAGTTGCCGAAACTTTCAGATTAGTTTTCTCCGCGGACGCGATAACACTGTTGCTCGCTCCACTCGCCACGCAATCGGAACGATTTTTATTTTTTCTTTTTTTCTTTTTTTTTTTAATCCTTCGGGCTTTCCTCGTGCGGGAGATCGTTTGTCTCTCGCTCAACGAAGCATGCCTCTCCTTCCTTTTCCTCGCAATTTTCAACCGAGTCAGACCTCCACGCGACGAGACGCAGCTTCTCCTCTGGGTGGAATTCTCAGTTAAGTGTCTCTGAAGGCAGCAGGGCCGAGATTAGGATTCGGTCCATGGTGACTGAGAATCAAGACAGGGGAAGGGAGGGATAGAACGGCAAAACGGTCGGCGATGTCTGAGTAACGACTCAGACTCCCTCGCCGGGGAAATGTATAAGGAAAATGAGAAAGGCATCTCGTAATTTGGAAGATCTCAATTTAGCGGAGAAATAAGATGGAGATTATATAACGTCGCGACTTAGAAAAGTCGTGTCGATCGAGTTGGGAAACGTGAAATTGAATGCGCGAGAATGCGCTCTTACAAACGCGTCCGGTCGCGAACGTCTCGATCTACTTTGAACTTTATTCGGCGACGCGACTCGCCCCTTCGCGTCGCTACTCTGTCGCGTTGAAACACCACGACAAATTTCGGCATTGTGTCGCGGGATGTGTTGTAACTAAGAGCATGAAAATACGCAGGAGATGCCGAATTATACATCTCGAACAAGTCGGACAAATTGCCGAACAAGCGTGTTTATTAGAGCTCGTCTATGCGCCGAGCAACTGCGAGCCTACGCTGTACACAACGTACTCCCATAATACACTTCATCAGTTTGTGTCCGACGCAGGAAGCGTGTAAATTGCGTCGCCATACGCGCATTGTAGGTCGCAAATTATTAACGAGGACCGCGGTGGACGTGTGACGAATTCCAAGGACCGCCGTCTCGCAACAGGATCACGTATGTGTATATATATAAATATATATATATATATACATACATATATATATATATATATATATATATAGCGCGTCCCACATAAGTAGAAAAAATGTCTTCCTCGGACTCACTCCGTCTATTACGAAGGATCGAATAAATTTCTGGGCGCGACCCGCAAGTCTCATGCCGAATCACAAAAGCTCAGTGAACATGCCGTTTTAATTGCTCGCAAGCTTTATCCTTCGGTAACGAGGAGGCGGAGGAGAAAAAGAAGAACAAAATGATGATTAAGAAGTAGATTCGCGAGTCTTTAGGTCTATATGGTATTCGCGCGCGCGCGCGTCCGGAAATCACGTGAAAATTAAATTAACAACTGCTTGGCGTGCGGGAAATTGCTTTCGCATAATGACGCGAGCTGTTAATCGTGTGTCCTTCTTGTTCTCCTCCTACTCTATTCCTCTTTCGCCTCTCGTCTCGCCGTTCCTTCCGTTTTCTCTTCGCGATCCAGATGCAGCACACGCGCGCTCCTAATTCTCCTCTCGCGCCGTAATATCTTGGGGTAAATCAAACGACTCTTCGAAGAACGCCCAGTCGAGCACGGCCTGATTTGAGTAACATTATTCTCTCGATTATGGTAAAAATTCTCTCGTCGATGCGTACAAATGAAATTGGAGTCGCGGAGAAAGAAGCGCTGTGCTCTTAATTGCGATGACGCGACGTCATCTTCTTATTCTCTACCGGGCTAGTCCAATACACACTGAGCTTCTTCGTTGTTTGTCAAGACACAATGTACCAAAGACTAAAAGATCGTTTAGATTACAGAATGTTCGCCTAAGTATCGTCTTTTAAGACGGACTAAGAGCCTCCTTTAGAATATTGTTGAACTCCATCAGTTCTTTTCTCAGTTTCTGCATGTCCGTTTCCTCGATTTTCTTCTCTAGCTGTCGGAAGTAGCGTTGCACCAGTTGTGACATAATTTCCGCGAAGTATTCGTCCTTATCTTCCTGCAGGTCCTCCTGTAAGATTAGACGAATTAAGACTTTGCCCATTCGTTAGAAATAGTTGGGGATTTTAACGGGATTTTCATCATATTGTTTCATAAGCGCAAGAATTTACTCTTTGTATATTTTACTGTTAATTGTTAAACGTTTTAACTATTATTACTTGCTGAAAACACTCGATCCGCAATGTATTTATGCGTTCGATGAAAACGTACGCGTCACGTACGCTTCCATGTTGGTCAGTTTACGATGGAAATCCTATAATCGATATTTAGCTTGATAACAAAATTATTCAATATTAAATCAACATTGAAGCTCGGCATACTGACGATGTAGCAACAATTTATAAAGTCCCATCGTGCTCGCTTGCCGGGCGGTGGCTTAAGCAGTACTTTTATGTACTCGATCACCGGTTTCAAACCCGTGAATATCGAGAAGATGCTAAACGGCGGCGGAAGCGTCGTCGTGAGCATGAAATCGACGTAGGCCTGATAAAATAGAAAAAGAAACGTATCAATCATGTTTCTGACGCCATTTTAATTGCAAGATCTTCGATTTGATGCTATGTTATTTTAACTTTAAAAAAGAGCGTAATTAACGATTGTTGAAGGAACTGACCTCTGTTCGACCAAAGATCCATTCCATGTTGACGTTATCGGTCACTCGGGTGAAGGTGTTCGACATACACGCGATCAGCATGTTCAAAACGACCACCACGGAGATAAATTGGAAACCTGAAAAATGGAAGGAATATCATTAAAATGAGAGAAAAGGGGAGAGAGACAGAGATCGTTTTATCATCTGTCAAATCTTTGACGAATTCATCGCCGGAGAGATGATGCGCTTACCCGCGAAAGCGAGGTAACCGATAAGCTCGGTGAAGCTATGATGATTGATTATCGTCTCCGTTTCTCTTTCACCGGGAAGATTTTCGATCACCACATCGGCACTTTCTACCGGGCTCATGCAGAAAATCGCCCAGAAAAGAGTCTTCAAAGTGGATTTGAAGCTCACGAAGGAATTTTCCTGTTCGATTTTCATCTTTGTCTCGTAATCGGTCTGCACCATTCCGTCGTAGTACTGATACAATTTGCAGAGTCCTGAAAAAAATTATACGCAATATTACTTTTGCAAAACAAGAAAGTTTTGTCGATACTTCGCCCGAAAGCTATTATTGAATCTTAATTATAATTATAATATCTATTATCATATCATAATCATCACATTGAGTATCATATATATGTATATTACTTATAATAATTTATAAATATTGTTAGGACGATGCAAGAAATATTTTCGAATCTGAAGGAACTCTTAATGGGACTCAACGCGTGTCACGTGTCTTACCAATCGTGTAAGCCGCGATGATGATACCGAATATCGCGAGGAAGTGACCGACGTCTCTGATCATTTTGAACAGAGACAGTTGCAGAGGTCCCAGATCGTAGTCTAATTGACAGATAAACAACAGCTTGAAAAACGCCATGATCGTCGCGAGACAAAAGATCCCTTCCGCTATCAGTGTCGGATCGTACTTGTACCAGTATTTTCTCTCCAAGTCACGCTGACCGTTTATCTTGACGTCCAACGCGGCGACTATCCAGAAGAGAAACGTCAGAACGAACAGCAGGAGCATAACAAGCTCGTACCTGTGTCGTAGCATGATACACAACGATACACACGATACACAACGTGAATTATTCGTGGTAAGTAACGCTGTCACGAACTGTAACGACCGATCAAATGCAAATTAGGATCTCACCAATTTCTACGTGTCCTGAAACACCTGGCCGGCCCGTCCACGATGCACAGTCGAATGAGCGCGATTATATATGACACGACGTAAATGACGAGGATCCATTCGAATCCTGAGGAGACAAGCTGACTTGAATTATCGGATTCTAATTCGTCGGGAGAGGGGAAGGGAGGAATGAATGAGAAGCGCTCACCGGTATTGGGCGGTCCGCGAAGCTGCTCGGTCTTGTCGCTGTGCGACTGCAGGAACACGAACGTAAGGAATATCAAATAATTTGCCACCGAAGAGAGGAATTTGTTCACTGGGATTTCGAAGAATTTGGCTCGCTTCGAGTTTGGCGCGACCATCATGACGAATGCTATAAACGGTAGCATACCGACCTGCGGGATCACCGACAAGCACTTCAGCCACATGCTGCGAACCTTCCATTCGTGCCAGCTGCCGATCCACGTGCTCTCGACCAACTAAAAGGAGACAACGCGCAAGCTTGTTTTTTGCGGAAATCACCATAGTCTTTGCGATATTAATTTAACAGACGATTAATTCTGTGTATGATAAGAGCTGAAGATTACGCAAGTCTGTGAAGAGAGAAACATATTATTTTTCGAGACACGAAAGTACTGAATCATAAATGTGATCGGTTACAGATCAGCTCTAATATTTATTTCATTTCATACGATCATATAATCCATCCATCATATGATCCATTTGATTTTTCTCAAGAGTGTTTTATCGTTATACCTGCTGTACGTTCGGGTGAGCCACGAAGGTTTTTTGCTCATAATCCAAAGCTAACAGGAGTCGCGGGTACACGAAGCTGGAGGCACGACCGAAACCGACGTTTCGTTTTAAGATACACTCGACCTCATCGACTTTACGAGCGCATCCGATCAAGTCTGTAGCGAATTGAGACACCTCCTTTATCGCAAAACAGTGAGCCGTTAGTCTACTTGCTCCTCTTATCGCTAATAATCAACTAGGAACGATTTTGCAATGGCGGTCGCCGTGTGGTTTTCGTGAACAGCAAGATCTCACTAACTTTGGACAGCGCTTTATAGTCGGGATAAAATTCTTTATCGAACGTCGCTTCCCTGCTAAGCTCGGCGGATAATTCGAAAGCCTTCAGAATCGGATCTTCCTCGGTTTGACAAATATAGGCCGGGTTCGATACCGCTCTGTACATAAACAATCGCATTTTCTCCATGGTCAGGATATCGCCCTTTTCCCTTTCCGGTCTGCGACGATGCAACAAGAAAATGGACACAAATTTCTCGACCATAGCGTCTTAAACCGCAACTTGATTATCATTGACGATTAAAAAAAAATCTTCGACAAGTGTTCGAGAGCTTCGTCTATGAATTTTTGAAAAAGAAATTTTTCTTTCATTCAACATTAAGTGAGTGACATCTAATTTCTTTTTCAAATTGCTAAGTATATTAACCCTTTAACGCCCGACTTTTTTATAAGTATTTTAAAAATAAAATTTGAGTTTTTTGAACTGAGACTATAAGTAGCGATAACCAAAAGAAAATATCAGAATTTTATATCTACGAAAAACTACCTTTCCAATGTAAAGTAATGTAAAGTAAAATATAAAGTAATAGTCTACTTTTGAACGAATAAATTTGTATTTTTTTGTAAATATAACGATAAAAATGATAAATATGGACACACTCAGAGATGGTTATCCAGATGGAAAAACTGTAAAACAATTACACGGAAAATCAGCACCAATCGTTTACTTCTGAATAAATGAGTACATCAAGTTTCCGCTTTCCGTTTGTTGCTTTCATTAGTTTGGTTCTTTTATCGTTCGTTTTTTGTTTATTGGTAAATATGACTTGGATCCTAAAAGCATATACGAAATGAGCAACCTATACAGAGAAAAATGAAGGGTAATCTATACGACATAACTCTGATAGACAGCTTGACATTTTTCAGCTGAAACTTTACTATATTTGTGAGTGAAGTTTATCATTCAGAGCGTCAAGCTTACTATTTCAGAAGAATATCTTATAGATCACCATTTAGATAGTCAATCGTCTCTTCATTTTTCGCCGCATAAAAAACCAGATTTCACGAAAATAGATTGATTTCTTGATTTTCGTGTCCACCATATTGGATTCGCCATTTTGAATTTCCGTATTCTTTTAATTTCACATTTTGCATTTGAGAAAGCTTCCAAATGTATAAAATTATAACAGATACTAATCTATTCATTTATAGTGCACTTCTAGATGTCAGTAATAATGCTAACTATGTCTACTTGGAATTTGACAAAACATATTATTGAAACTGAGCTAAAAACAGACTAAACGAATCTACATACAATCTATATACCATTTTTTAGAAGAAGAATTTATCTTTACAGTGGTGGAAAGAAAACGAAAATATCTCCTTTTTTGATTAAGTTATGGATTCTTACATGCGTTTCTGGTAACTATAGTTATCAGTAGGCGTTAAAGGGTTAAAAGCTCTCAAGTATTACTTTGGAAGGATACGTTTCGTATTCGTCGCGTGAGCGTCGTCGTACTTGCACGTTTCTTCGCAATTGCAGCTAGGAGGATGAGGCTTATATAGGATGTGACGTCGGAATCTGAGCATATCAATCATCTCGAAGTGTCCATATTGCGCCGCGACGGCGAGAGGGGTTGTATCATCTGGGAAATCGGGGCTGTGAGTGATGCCGGCGTATTCGAAGCCGGGCGTCAATTCATTCAGCTTGTCCAGTATCATCATGGTGACCCGTATTTGATTATTCCTGATTGCGTGTAGATGCGCATCGCCCGGATCGATTTCCGGCAGAGACAAGAGGTACTCCACCATCGGTATATTTCTCTCGTTCACGGCGATATTGAGCGCGCTAACACCCTGAAAATGAAACGTTGAATTAGTGACACGCGAGTGACACGAGGAGTTCGCGTTAAAGAAGTGAATCGCGAAGAAGAGTGTTGCAGCTCGACAGCAGCGTAATCAGCTTTCGTGGCGACTGGAAAATCAAGCTAAGATATTTCAAGGGACGAGAGAAACGAGTCTCCAAAGACTACGCACGGTCTTACACATATTTCTCAACGCCTCCGAGACGGAGTTAAAGCACTGAAGAAAGTTCTCGCGTCGGAGGATTGCGCGTTGCGCATGAAGAGTCGAGAGTTGCGCCAACTGGGACACGGGATATTAATACGGAGCGTATCTTACATTAGCGAGGAATGCTGAGGAATTTTTTAGCGAACCTTAAAGGAATTGTCGATCGTGTCATTTGGAATTCATATTGGAATTTTACGACAGCTGTACGATACCTGCACCTCTCCAGGGAGATGTGGGCGATCTTGGATTATGTAACACGAGGTTCCTAGCACTTTCCTATCATTCCATCTCTCTCGTGCACCACGTGAGTGAAGACAAAACGAGAAGACAGCTATTCGGTCGGGAAGATAACGCGTTGGTCGAATTGAAAAATTCTTAGACTTTTCCGGAATGTTCTCTTTCTCCGTCGAGAGACGGGACCGTGCGGGATCTCTTCTTCTTTCTCCTTCTTTTCCTTATTCGGAGGAGTGAGAGGAGAAGAGAGAAAGAAAGAGAAAGAGGGAGGGAGGGAGGGAGGGGAGGGAGGGAGGGAGGGAGAGAGAGAGAGAGAGAGAGAGAGAGAGAGAGAGAATGAATTCGACTTTCGGAGCACTATCGGCTCCCTTTTTTTTCGGTCGTGTCCCTCTTTGTAGGAAGAATAGGACGACGACGTTTGTCGCCCATCTGCGGCGCGTTTACAGAGGCGGGCCCCGACAATGGACCGGCACTATTGTTGCCGTCGGCACCAGTCACAATATTCCGTGATATTCTGGCTTTTCGACCGGACCCCCGGAGCATTCGTGTACATCCACACGCCGCGCACGACAATAACACCTCGTGATATATGTTCGGTAAAAAGCCCTTCTCTCCCCCTTCCTCTCTCTTTCTCTCTCCCTCTCTCTCTCTTTCTCTCTCTCTCTCTCTCTCTTCTCCTTCTCTTTCTCTCTCGACGAAGTCCCTTGACAATCGGCAGCTGTCGCCCTTAACGTCTCGCATGACTCGCCCTGATTTTCCGCCCAACTAGCTATCTATTTGTCGTTCGAGAATTTCGCTTTTTTTTCTCTTTTTACTTGCGGTGAGCACGTTGCGAAATAGCGGCGCGAATGCTGACTCAACGCTTTCGCCGCTAACAAGCATCGACCCCGAGTGTAAAGGGCAACTGTCGACTTTCGATCTCTCGTATAAATTACACACGTCGATATCGAACTTTTATTACAGTTTCGAATTTCTTCGGGATCTATCGAATTCCGTTGAATCGTTCGGAAATTTAATTAGCGACGGGAATGACAGGCAGGTTATTTGGCAGCGAGCGCGTAAGGTGTTTAATGAATGAGCAACGCAAGGATGCGTCATCATCGGCGGCGGGTCGCGTCCCAGAAGGCGCACGGTGAAGCGTGGAGGAGCTCGCGCGACGGCGAGTGCATTCCCGTATGGAATTTACAGCGGGCCAGGTCATTTGAATAATTTTTATCGGGCCTCGGCTGAAACCATTGTCTTGTAAAAAGACGGTCTGAAATATGGCCGGAGATACACGGAGGCAAGCAGCTTCTTCTTCTTTCTCTATGCCTTCCTCCTTCGCTCTTCTTTTCTCTTTCTCTTTCTTTCTTCCTTCCTTTCTCTCTCTCTCTCTCTTTCTCTCTCTCTCTTTCTCTCTCTCTCTCTCTCTCTCTCTTTTTCTATCTACTCGTGTGCGCCGCATCGGCATTTCGGTCTCAAAGTCAAACGAGGGTTTGGCTGCTTTTCGGGAACCTCGAAAGGGAAGAGGACACCGCGAGCTAACGAAGAAGACGGTTACAACTACGGGAGAGCCGGCCGAGAGTGGATGCAGGGAGTGGAGGGAGCGGGACATTCCACGGGGGGTACGTGTTCCAGCACGGGGTGAAGATCTGAGATAACTGGACTTTGCGTCGCCCTCATTCTCTCTCCGGCTCCTTCTCCCCGGTTGTGCTCGTTTCGTTCTGCCGTTTCTTACGCGAGATAAATCGCGAGCGGGTTCACTGGGACACATTAAAACGTTTCTCAATTCGCATCGGAGGACGCATTAATGCTTTACACGTCGGGAGTTACGCAACGTCACCCGTTAGCCCATCTGCAGCTCGAGGGCAAAGAAAGTTCGAAAGGTCTGAAATTTATAACTTGACGATGAGACAGACACTCGATTTTTCGGCATGAGGAAACGTGTATCGAAAACATCGAATGTTCGTAAAATATTCATGCGCGTAAAAAAATGTTTGATTTTCTTTTTTTCAACCGGAGCTTCCGCTACGACCGAGCTCACCGCGTCAAATTATAAATTTGGTCAGTTTTTCCCTTTTCCTTCCAGCCTGCAGATACAATCTATTGAATCTATTGGATCACAGTACCGCGCTTGTCTCTCGCCATGTCTGCGCACCCTATCTTCTGCGACTCCCCTTTGCCCCTCGACGAGAACACCTAAAAACACAGCGCGAGCCTAAGAATAGCGTGGCGTCTCTCACATAAATCATCAGCCGCGATTTCAAAGGAAGGGTTGACAAAAGTGACGCGGACACCGAGAAGGTGGGAGCGTATCTTCTTTCGACCTGCTGTCGCTGCCGTTGCTGCCGCCTCTGCTCTGCTCGTGATTTCGGTGAATCCACGTAAGTAGTGGTGCGGGCTCTTACGGTTAAATCACGGGGAGCCGGCGCGATGGAAGATAAATTCGGGAATCTTTACGAGCTGTTTAAGGGTCCACTTTAAAGCGCACCGTTCGCGCGACTGCGAGTCGTCCGATGAATCAGATAGGAAACGGACGAATCCACCGGACGCGGTGACGTATGGAAAATGCATTTCGTCGCGGTGTAATTTAGCGTTCCTGGATCGCTAATGGCGCACGTCATCGTCGTCGGCGTTGTCGCGATTATCCGACGTGAAATCGTAAATTGAAAAGTTAATTTATATGCTAGCCGGCGCCCGTCGTTATCGTCGTCGTCGTTGTCGTTTCGTCGGAAACACCGCAATTAATTCGACGTTAATTGCGGACTGCGAAATGGATTTACGCGCTTTCCGCCTGGCGCGAACAATTTTTCTACTTTCTCTCTTCTCTTCCCTTGGCTGCTCGGGTACGATAAACTCTGTATCTTGCTTCCTTTAATGTTATAAATATTTCGCGTCACGTTCCTCGCGAGATCGCGCGCGGAAGGTTTTATGATCTTGTGATTTTACATAATACTTACTTGAAAATTTATGACGTTAATATTGAAATCTGGATGCTCGTTCAGGAATAATCGCACTTCGGTGATATTTCCGTCGGCAACGATTTCGAAGAATTTTTTCTCGAGTTCTTGCAACAGCGGAAATGTCACGCTGGGATACTGTAATAAAAATAACCTTTTAGTACACCTCGAGATAGAGTGCGTCGGATATCATATTTTCAATTTCTGACGCGGTTACTCCGCGTGCAGAGTGTAATCCCGCCGATGTACTCTTTGTGGAAAAAGGACTTACGTCTTCGAGTTCGTCCTCCGTTCCAGCTATCGCGTTGTTATCCGCCATCGCGTGTGACAGCTCGATTGCAAACGATCGTCTTCACGAACGTTAAACAAAATGAGTTCTCTGTTTGAGATATGCATCAGACATCTCGGTAAGTCGAGGCGTTTAGTCGCGCGATCCTTCGAGACAATCTTAAAGAAACGAATCGAAGATACTTTTTACGTCAAATCTATTTTGTTTCGATCTATTGGCGCGGCATAGAAGTGAAGTTGCCTCCGTGAAAGTTTTGATTTAAGTGACTTGTGGAACTTTTATACGACAGCTGATTTCGTTTATTCGAGGTCTTCAACTTGTCAACTTATTTTCAACTAATTTTCATTCTTCCGAAGTAGATAATCCTGCAATCCATTTTTAAGCAGTAGTGGATCTCGTTTATTTAAACTTGTTAACTCGTCATAATTTTAATTGATTCATCTAAGTAAGTGGCGTCTATAATAGGGAGGAAAAATAAGACGCGGCGCGTTCTTCGTTTAATGATGTAATTTAATTTTCGGGCGGAGGTAAATATATACATAATTTATAATTTGTTTGTGCGTTCTACATACAAATAATATAATAATAATAATAATAATAATAATAATTGAAATAATAATATAATTACTACAATATAATAATACATTATAATAATATAATAATATATAATATAGATCTTGAGGATAACTTAGGCGTCAGAAAGATAGTTCTTACATTATTAAAATAATTAATTCTTGTCGCGTCGATTGTAAACGACGTCGTCAGAATCGTGACACGATGACAGTGATGCGATATGATCTAACATTACTATACAGCGAAAAGATATCCGAGATAGTTGCTGTCACGACCGATAGCGACAGGTGTGTATCCGTGAAGTTGGCTCGTTTCGGCTGCACTTCCTGCATCTCGATTCTTTCATCTTTCTCTCTCGATGCTTAGATCTCAAACATGCGCTTCTCTCATTTAAAGCGCTAAAGAGAGCAGCTAAACAGATAGACCTCATAGTTTTAGGTATGTGTGTAACGTTAAATACATACATATATATAATGCATACAAAAAATGTGTTAATGGACGAAGAAAACGCAGTAGGTTACGTACACTTCTCTCGTCGCGTTAGACGACGAGGGAGAAGAACCGAAAGAACGTGGACTATATACAATAATCTCCATTTCGTGAAAGCTCGTTGAACGGATCTGTATCTGAAATTTATCGGGCCGACATCGAGAGAGCGCGCAACGCGAACAGCTTGATTCACAATACGAGTGAGTAATTACGAGGAAAAATATTAATTTGATCTCGCGTTGTGTTCTTCAAGATTCTCCAAGAGTAAACATAAGTCTCTTTCTCCGCTTCGTCGCACTTCATACTGCTTTGCGATACTGCTTTACGTTGTAGTTCGAGAATTTCGTAAACTCGCGGAAGAATTTAACAGCGCGCGCGTGCGATTAATCTTGAAATTTAGAAGTGAAAGTTTCCCTTACGTAATCTAAGCGACGGCGGATATGTAACACAAACGATGTAATTTAAAAACGACAGAGACGACACTTCGACAAGAAAGAGTCGGTAATAATATTACATTATTATAGAATATTATTCCATGTGTTTTTCAGAACACAACGCGATCTCTTCAGGCACTTTGGGCACGGACTCATCGCACGAGACGTGGTTCGCGAGCGCTTTCGTGAGGAACAGAAAAAAAGAGACGTTTATATTGTACACTACAGTACACATAACGAGAGAAAAGCTCCGATTCTCCCTCAAGCGTTTTCACCCTCCATTGTTCCTCCGCCGTCCTACTAGTCAATTATACTACACGTTACACTCGGTGAACACGGATGGGTCACTGGCCAACTGATGTCTCTCGTCTACGACGATGTTTCTCTTCCGCGCGTTCAGTTCTATGACCTTCATGATTCAGGCGTCCACCGTTTTCGGCAACACGCGCGCAATCACTGTGTGGGCTCACGACGCAACATAAGAAAGAAACTTATGAGAGCTTCGATGCAAGTTATCTCGGCGATTAATCAGCACTAAAGTCTCGACGCTCCGGCGTCAGGAAGAAAGTAGTCCTCGGTACGCGAACACTCGAGCCTGTGTCTTGGAGGATCCATTCGGCACTTGGTCACAACACTCGTTCGCTGCCCTCACCTCGCCTTACCTTGCCGACCGCGAGATTTCAGTCGTACAACATCTTCGACGGCAGCACGTAGCTGGAGAGCGAGTAGAGCAACGATGCGTACCAGTGGACGCCGTCCTGCGTCGGGATCGTCGTCGAGCTGGAGGTTTGGTTCAACGAGATCCCAATCGCGGCGTGCTGCCTTACTTCGGGATACCGTGGAGCCTCGGTTGGCCTCTGCACGAAGAAGGACACCATGCTATGCCAGATCCTCAGAGGCAGGAAGGCGTAATGTGCCACCGACTGGCTGTCGACCACGGCGTAGCAAGACGCCACCACGTCGTTCACCAGCAGCGTACCCTCCGTCGTCAGCGGAGCGAATACGCCCTCCTCGAGGACCAGCTTCGCCTCCACTACGGTATCCCATCGTAGATCGCTCTTCACTTGGCCCTCCACCTGGTCCTCCAACTTGCTCGTCGTGCTGGCGCTCACGAGAATCCTGTCACCTGCTTGTACCTTGGCGGCGAACACGGACGCTCGATCCTCCACCGGCACCAGATGCGCCGGTGTCAAAGTGAGCACCCGGCCAGACTCGGTCGTCAGACGGATGAACTGCCTCCTCTCGAACGGCGAACGGTCCAGGAAGGCGATCACTTCGCTGTACACGACGTTCCCATAAGAATCGAGGGCGGCGATGCGCTCACCGAGCTGCACTTCCTCCAGCCTCTTTGTAGCGCCATCTTCTGTTCTCACCAGACTCTTACCGGGGAAACAGCCGCCGGCCTTGCCTATTGAGGACGCGTCTGAAAGCAGAAGATGGAAGAGGTGAGAAAAAGCTCTTGCAGCGATGCAGCTCGAAGTCGAAGACTCGCGAAGGTAAGACTAATATTCGTTAATGCCTCTTGCATGCTTCTTCAATTCTAAATATCATAGAAGAGAAATGCGAGGCGAAACGTTGAAGTGTATTGTGAGGAATTGTGATATTTTCATCATATTTTATTATATTTCGTAATTCCCCCATAATTATAAATGGTGGCACTAAGGAAAAACAAAACAGAGACGTGTACAAATTTGAGGAACATTTTCAACTTTCGTTTTCGCTTCTTCTAGGTGTTTGATGCGATTTATTTTCTCCGCTTGCGACAGTATAATGCAGAGTGGCAGTCGCAGGTATCGCCATTTCGGGGGCGCGCTCTCGCCTCGGCACCGATTAACGCTTAAGCCGATTAACGCAATCGCGGTGAAAATTGCCGGAGTATTAAAGTCACGATACGCGTGGATCGCATTCGCTGGCGCTTGTCTCGCGCTACGGTTAACCCCCTGTTCACCCCATTGTTCGCCCTTCGCTCGGAGCAACTTCGACTGAGTATCGATTTCACGCCGATTCTTATGCTCGGTTTTAATTCGGCGCGACAGACACGGCGCGATTTATTGGCATTTATTTTGAAATTCGAGAGCCGACCGTAGCTTGGAACGAGCACGGACCGCTGATTGCTTGAGTGCAGGTATATACGCCGAAGCGAGAAACGCGGCGCGTCGAGATCGATAGATGCAACAAGTTCTTCGCGGTTAGAGTCTCCTCCACTTTGTGCGACATATCGTGCCCTCTTTCAGGAACGACACAAATAAGAAGACCACAATTTTGCTTCTTACCACGTAGACACAAGAACGTATATAAAATGTTGCAAGTAATTCATTCGAATGACCGAGGAGGAGAGCGACGCGGAACAATCTTCCTTTTTTGTCGTCACACAGTCGCAGTCAGGATTTAATTTCCCGAAACATTCTACGTGCGTGGAGACAAAAATATTGGATTAACTGGACTCGCGTGTAATTTCTTCGAGCTCGGTGAGCTTCGGTTTTTGCTCGATGCTGCTCTCTACGCGTTACCATCGCGTGATCTACTATCTATGTACGTCGGTAAAATAGGCATCCGCAATTTGCCAGGAAGCGACGGCAATTTTCACGAGGCGAGTAGACACGATGACGTGCATTCGATGATACGATGATCGAATTTTCGTTCACGGAGTTAATTTCGCGCGGGCGCGTGCGCGCGTTAACAGCGTCCGACGCGCGTAAAATTCATATCAGCCGCGTTAAAACCACACTGTCTCCGCTGATAAATCACAATCCGACCAGATTACGCGACGTTAAGTGATTTTAACATCGCTGTCGCGTCGCACTTGCCGCGGATGACACGCGCGGCCGAGGCGTTAAGTCACTCTCTGTCACTCGTAACCAAGAACAGCGTGAGACTTTAGTATCCTTGTTCCATTAAACGACGTACTGCACCGACTACAGCATCTTTATTACATTAAACGACATCGTTACAACTGCCGCTCGGTAGTTTATACGCTCGTTTTTATTGGCGCGCGTTGTAATCGGTCTTTATGCGGGTATTAACGAGAAATGAACGCGCGGCGCGATTAAAATCTGCATGCGGCCCGCGAATTGACTGTCGACTTCCGACAGTCGTTCAACAGCAATCTCCGTGCAGTTCGGAGCGACTCCACTCGACCGAACATTATTCTGCATTAATCTACTTTCGATCTTACCGGAAATCTCATCGCGTCTATTTTCACCCACGGATTTTTTCATCGATCGATTTGACTCTGACGAACGACGCGTGAGCTCGTGGTTTTTACCTGTTCGAACTCGCGACATTTATCCGTTTCCGTTTCTCACTCGTGAATGGCGGCGAATGGTGACCTGGCGAATTTTTCTTATCGCGCGATTCGACATTTCGATGTAACGACACATCTACCACGGTGTAAATTTGCCCGCGCTCTCTCTCTCTCTCTCTCTCTCTCTCTCTCTCTCGCGTTTGTTCAGCGGTGCATCGTGCGCGTATGAACGCAGAGAACGGAAGGTACTAACCGGATTTAACGGAGCAGTGAATGTGTGACCTGGACTCGTAATAGACCCAGTCGAAACCAGCTTCCACTGCAAGCCTTGCCAGCATTCCGTATTTCGAGCGGTCCCGATCGCTCGTCGTCACGTCGACGGCTCGTCCTTCGTAGTGTAGCGAATCCGTCGCGTGCTTACCCTCTTCATCCCAACCCTCGGTTACCCTCAGCTTCACCCCCGACCATTGATTCATCACCGAGAGCGCGAGACTGTTCAGCTTCTCTTTGCATCTCTGTAACATAGCGTAAGTTCTGGGTCATTGGGCTGCTAATGATACGATATAATAGATGAAGAGCGGTATATAAATGAAATATGATTAAAGTGCGTGTTAAAAATTGAGAAGAGGTAACTTCATAATCTGCCAGCAGTAGGCAGTAGGCGCTTTCTATATCGGGGATTGTTCAAATTTACGAAATTTCGTTCCAGCCAATTTTCTCTCAAAAACTTTCAAAAATGTATGCTTAAAATCTTCAATATATTAAGCTACGTTCGATTTCTTTTATCGAATATTGAAACCGTATTTACGCATGCACGTGGTCTATATTTACGAATATCCTTCGATCAAACTTCATAATTATTTCCAAGCGAGCTCAGTTAGACATCTCGGCGAGTTTAGAGTTAAGTTGATTCTCCTTGCCATTGGGTGATGGACATCGCTGCCCTCTTTCCCGGAAAGTTCCGCCTAATGCGATTTCCCTCGTGTCTGGAAAATCGCGCGAAGACAGGTCTGACCCGGAGAATTCAGCCAGCGATTTCACGCGGGTGTGCGCGGAAAAAGAGGCACCACCTCGTGATCGGTGGTGTCAGGTAGTGCGTGTGAGACCACAGTGAGGGAAACGAATGCGAGTTTCGACCGTGGTCACGAGATCGGGCCCAGGATCTTTAGGAGACTTTAAATGGGCCTAGTGCGTGGCGAATCAGCGGGCAAACAGGAGTATAAATACAGCCGATGTCAAGGATCGCATTCGGTCACGTCGATCTTCGATCTGCTCTCTTCTTGTCCGGTCGAAGCCAATTTTCTCTCTCGTTGTCTACCTGCACTGGACGACGCAGATAATCGGTCGGATCGGCCAGTCGGGAGTGAATCAGTAACGTTTTCTCCGGAGCAACGAAGCTCCGATTTCGGTGATGGTTCACACAGAAATCTTGCAGAACGAGAAATCCTTATCTTAACGAAACCTTGCGTGTAATTTAGACATTTTTACTTGCTGCCAGAAACGGGCCAGAAAGGCGTGAAACATTGATAGTTGATGAGATATAGCAAGAGAAGCTGAAAGCCAGCCCCACTCATATACGAGGAGTGGTTCCTCTCTTCAGAAACGTTTTCCGTACGTAATCGTTTTCATGTACTGAACACTTTGGCATTCATTTATTTACCCTACCTACATAAATGCAAAGTTTCATTAAAATTTCCGAATTTCCGGGTTCGCGAGTATCCCTTGTCAGGCAGACGGGGCCCGGCTGCGCGCGGAGCCGTGTAAAGCCGGGCCTTAATCTGGAACGCGGCGTATCGAGGGCGCAAGAAGGCAAACGCGAGGGAGCTTCCATTGAGCGGGCCCGCGGCATTGTCGAAGGGTATTCGAGGCGTCCGGGGTCCGCGTTCAAATCGATTCTCGAACAAGGAGGGCAATCGCCCACGCAGGGCCGTATCGCGCGGATGACCGGACGCGGATCGCACTCTTTAGGCGTGAATCGCGCCGAAGTGATCGGCCGGTCGGTCGGCTCCTTTTTGTTCTTTTTATTCCCGGCCAAACGCGCGGAAGAGGGTAATTTTCGAGACGGGTCCGCTCGACTTTTGCGAAGGGGAGAAGCCGCCGCGCGACGTCATCGTCATCGTCGTCGTCGTTGCTGGTCGATTACGAAAGAACACGCCGCTGCTGCCGGACCGGTCAGCCAATACCGCCGCGAATTGCCGCTGCGAAATTCGTAACACTCGGGACTCCCGTGCTGTCTCACCCCTTTTCTCGTACCCACGGGGTCTCCTCAATGGCGGCGCGCAACTGACCACGAAGCGGCTCGCGCGGTCCGCGGCCACAATGAGACCCGCTGGACGCTAACCGACAACGAAACGGGGGCTAACAATATCCACGAATTTGCAGCTCTCCTTGCGGCAATTAGACCCTATTGACTGCAGACGACGGCCCTCGGGGGACCGGTCCCATCTCTTCTCCCTTCTCGTCTTTCTCCTTCTCCTCCTCCTCCTCCTCCTCCTCCTCCTCTTCCTCTTCGTCGCCGTCTTCTTCTTCTTCTTCCTCCTCCTCTTCCTCCTCCTCCTCGTGCCCCTTTTACCTTGCTCGCTCACTCGCTCGCTCGGTCGTCTCGCGGTCCCGGTCATCCTCGCCGGTGAAAACCTTCAGCGGCCACGTGCAAGCGATTGCGACAAGCGAGAATCGCACGCCCATCCGCTGTCGGATGAATTTCCATTAAGGTCCCCGCGGCGATGAACCGGGATCGCTCTGAATGAAACCTCCTGCGAACGGGCCATAACCGAGAGAAGCCGAAGCCGAAGCCGAAGCTTAGACCAGGTCTCTCAATAGGCGGCCTTAATTCCCTCGTGCGCGATACGTTTCGCGAAATTTATAGCCCCGTGACTGTTGGTTCCCGGTCACCGCAACATCACCGGCCATCGGCGGTCAGCTCGGCCGCCGCTTCCGGTCGGGTGAAAGCGGAGAATCGCCGCTGCCGCGCTACGTTTAGGAGAAAGAGGAGGAGGAGGAGGAGGAGGAGGAGGCGGAGCAGCAGCCTAAGAATGTATCGTCCTCTGGAGATTGGAACAAGGTGCTTCGACTGTCGGCTCATCTTTTTGTGTTCCGTACCGCTCCGACTTCGTTAAACACAACAATGGGCGAACACCTTTCGCGCAAACTGGTCAGTAAGAATCAGGAATCCACGAGGATTTTCCCAACGCAATAACGAAACGGTCCAATTATCTCGATCGCGCCGGGATCGTTAAGTGTAGACGCGTGTCGTCCTTCGCACGAGGAGGAGGACCGGAGCCGCGGGATCGTCGAAATTTTCCCATGCGCCTTCGGCTTTCGGGCGTAGCGTTCGCGGGGCTGCGCGATGCATGATGAGAACCGAGGTAATAGAGGATGAGAATGACGATGGAGTCAAGGAGGAGAGAAAGAGGAGGAGGCGGAAGGCGGAGGAGGGGGAGGTATAAAAGCCCCGAAGGAGTCTCATATAAAGAGAGGGAAGAATGGTGAAGGGCCCGAGAGATATATCGGCCGTAGTGCGCTATGGGGAGCCTTGTTCGCACAGCGGGGTACCCCCTGAGCCCCTCCCAGACTTTACATCTATTTACAAACATTTTGGCGGACTTGAAGAGATGGAGGATATGAAAGAATGAGAAAGAGTGCGCGCGCGCGCGCGCGCGGTTAGCCAAAGCCGAGAGAATGTCGGGTCTTATGAAAATCCATTTCAGGTGAAAAATGGCCCGGTCCGTAATGCATTAGGGATAAGAAGGGAGGCACGGGCGGGGAGGGAGGGAGAGGGGGAGACGAGGGTGGTTACGCGAGAGTCGAGAATCCACGGCAGAAATCGAAGGAAGTCTCCAAATGCGGGAGAGTTCGTACGTATGCGCGAAATCTCACCAAGGAAACAAAACGCGAGTGTTCTCGTGCGAAAGGCGAAGGGGAAGCCGCAGTTTCAGCTCGGAGCACACAAATAGACTTAATGGAATTGCATTGATTCACTTCTGTAGGAAGTGTAAAAATGATAGTTTCTCGGAAATCGTTCGAGCTGGGGGGAGAGGGCGGCATCCTCACTCGAAGCATCGTTCTCGATGGTCGGCTTCCGATCTGACCGAGAGAGAAATCGGTGATATCTCGGCGGTGAGAAAGTCAGGATTTTCCGAGATACAACGCAGGACAAACTTGGTTTCTCGCGAAAAGCATCTGGAAGACGAGGAACAAATATCTCTTAACGGAATTCGTGCGATATAAATGCTTTTCAAAGAGGACAATTCGATGTTCTTGGAAGGTTTCCCTTGTCTGACCAGACACGTCTGTATCTCCTTCGCGCGTCGAGCGTGGACGCAACGCGGGAATTTCCTCACTTGGCAAATCTTCGTGCTCGAGTTCGTTTACAGGGTTGATCATGATCGACCAGGACGACTGTTGTCACAAGAAGGAACATATAGTCGACATAAAAATAAAATTCTCGGGAATTACGCGAGTATACGTCATCGAGAAGCGGACAGCCGGTAGCCGAGAAACCAGTCGCAGCGAATGATGGGTAGCGCGTTAGAACGCGACGCAGGACGTTGTATCCTGTGTTATTTCACTCCACGTTATTTTATCTCTCCTTCATCATTCGCCCCGATAGCCGCTAATTACGGTGCGCGCTTGTCGCTTACACCTCGTTTACATATTTCGTATCTTATCGCACGAACGCCCCGTTCGGCGAGGCCGTGTTAACTCTCGCGCGTTCGCGACTTGGTTCGCGTGCGTCTACCGACACGGTGTATAATCAACGTAGCGACATTAAAGCGAGCGATATTAATTTCCCCGTTCGCCGCGGTACTAATTGCCCTCGCGCTGCCTGTTACGGCTCGTTAAATCGCGGATAACGTTCACGAAATTGTCGAGCCATCGTCGGAGAACAAAGGAGCGGGACGCCGAGACAAACGACGTCGGAGTGTTGCCGAACAGTCGGAGACGCCAAGGGTGAGGAGGTCAAGGAGGAGGAAGAGAGAAAGAGCAAAGGAAAAGGACGACAACGACGACGACGACGACGACGATGACGATGACGACGACGAAGACGACGACGACGAAGACGACGACGACGACGACGACGACGACGACGACGACGACGACGACGAGGAGGTGAAGAAGAAGGAGACGGTGGAGGAGGAGGAGGAGGAGGAAGATGAAGAGGAGAAGCACGTTGAAGTAGAAGAAACGGCGGGAGCAGCAGAGAAGCCGAAGATGGGCCACGTATTGCCTCGAAAGGGGGTTGGGTCCGAGATGAAGGAAGATGGTGAAGGAGGACTGGGCTCCATACCAGCATCCGCAGACGGGGCCCCGCCCCCGCCGGTTTCTCCTTCGGTCCTTCTCCACCTCCGGTCCTCACCGGCTTTACCTTCTCGCGGCCAGGCCAACCTTTTATTCCAATCTTCTTGTTTCAACGTGCTCGTTGCTCTATCTCCCCTCTCTCTTCTGTCTTTCTTCGTCTCGCTCACTCTCTCTTTCTCTCTCTCTCTCTCTCTCTCTCTCTCTCTCTCTCTCTCTC